TCAGTTGATAAAGAAATCTGAGTCGTAAGAGTCAAGGACATTGACTACAACCATCCATTCACGCTTAATCCCACGAATTAAGCATCTCAGCAGATATCTCGGAAACCTGGAAGCTGCAATAAGATAAGCTCTGAGAAGAATGCATGAGAAAATTTGAAGTTTCGAGTGACGGAACCCTATACTCTCTAGATTTGACCTAGATCGAGAAAACTCAGAACCTTCGAAAGAGTAGTTGCAAAGGACTCTCGCGCTACTCAGGTACTTCGTCCACCTTGCTGCTGACGAGTAGTGCTTATGACACTCCGCCTCCCCACGTGAAAGGAGTCATCGTCGCCCTGTAGACGATAGACTGCATTCTCCGAAGTGAATACTAGAATGCCAAGAACCACCGGATAACCTCCGCAGCCAAGAACATTTGAATAAAGTCCAAAAGTAAGTTGCATTAAGTCTCGTAACCCAGATCCAGAAGAGATTATAGACTTGACACCAGTCTAGGTGTTAGTTAATGGGTTATATAAGAAAACGCGCTCTCTGGAACTAGAATAAACCGACACCTTGGAGACTAGGGCATGTCTTAGAGATTCATTGGACTAGGTGTTCCGAGAATACTATCTCACACAGAAATAGTAAAACCACCTCCCGAGATAGCCCAACACTTCAGAAAATCTCTAAGGATTGAGTTAGCCCTGAGCAAAGATTTCTATTCATGAAACAGCAAAGCAAGTAAGAGCATGATTCTTTCCTATTAGGAATCATATTGTGAGAGCGTCAAACTAGATGATGATGTAAAGTTTAGAAACTTTCTAAACAGTCGTCTGGTAAAACCCTATCTCCCCGACCCTGATAGTTCTGTTAGGAACATCTCAAAAACCCGAAGTGCAGGTTCATTTTGTACTAGGTTGAGATAGACGCCCTACAGCAGACAGATACCCGTAGACATCCAATTCATCCGATGATCCAGAAAACCTCTGAAAGCCAATCAACGGGAAACACGAATCCAAGGATAACCTGGATCTTCTAAGAACCAACTCGGGAATTACACCCTCAGTAAGAGAGAACTTTTGGAGCATTAAAATGGCGATCACGCTAATGATGATCTCACCATAGAAGTACACTATGTTCTAAGTACTGAAAAGCTCTAACTTTCCAAGAGCTTAGGACCATCCAAGATTCTTTACAAAAATTGGTCCAACCCTTGTCAGACCACGACTACTTTCGGAAATTCCATAAGTTCACCCCAAATCAATCCACTTCTTAGACTTGAAAAGTGTTTTCCTGACGTCACTCTTTGTATCCCACTCATTTTGATAGAATTCATTGGGAACCCTAACTTCGTACACGAACCTTTAGGAATCGCTAACTGAATGAAACGGAATCCGCATCCCGTAAGTGAAGGTTTGTTAGAATGCCCATCAAAGTCCAGATTTCACTTGGGAGTGCAAGGACCAACCGAATAGGAAGTACCTTCATCTCTCTACCCATTTGTTCATGCCACTTCCTTGCCTAAACCCTAATTTCAGGATGAAATTCCCTCTAACGGGGGGATGATGTGACAACCTGAAATTTATCCCGTCATTTTAACCCTGATTCCGTTAATAAAACCCGCTTTATTAAATTGTCCGTTAACCTTTTGGATTAGGTTAATTAAATTGGGACTTTTTATGACTTCATAATGGTTGAAACAAATTAGAAACACCCTCGATATTCCCTTGAAAAAATTTAGTTTCAACCAAGTCAAATTACGACCATCTAATTGGGTGCGACCAAAAGCCCCGTTTAACGTCAGTATCGGGTAAATTTCCACTGAGCCACAAACTCAACCCCTATATAAAGGTGAGTGGACTCCATTTGAAGCTTTTCCACCATCTCTCTATTCTCTCTCTCTACAAAGCCAATTTTGATCCAAAAACGCCTCTTTCAAGCCCCAAACTAGTAAGTGATCTACCTTAACTTGTTGTTTAGCTCATTTAACATGCAAATTCGTGTTTAAGACATCCAAAATTGACAAAATTATGTGTTTACGGCCCAAGAACACTCTTGGACCGCAAACACCTATAAGTGGGGTTTTGAAGCCCCAAAACCCTCCTAAATCACTCCTAGGGCTTAGATATGACTTGTGAACCTACACATATGAGCTAAGAACACCAAAACCTTAGCATATGGAGAGTAAACAGGAGTTTACGGCCCAAGAACACTCTTGGACCATAAACCCCTTTTCATGAGTCGTGAACGCCTTTTAAGGTGTTAAATTTTCCCTTCAACACCTCCTAAGGCTTGGGTAAATGTCTAGAATCAACCACAAATGAAGTAGGGGCTTTAAACATCAAAGGAACCAGGAACTTAGGAGTTTACGGCCATAAAACCCCCAAGGATTGGTCCATGGGTCGTAAACTCCCATAATGGAGCCAAATGATGCCCTAACTTCCCCATTTGACTTGGAAAAATGCATAGAACTTTATATCCTTTCATTTAAGACCTTAATTCATGAAGGGAATGACCAAGAGAGAGTTTACGGCCGTAAACTCTAAGTTTACAGCCGTGAACTCCCTTAAGTATTTCATTTGGAGCCTTAAACCCTTCTTAAGCCCTAAAAGTGAACCTAGCCTAACTCTACTAGTTGTATAAGACCTTTTATCATCCAAAAACACACCACCCACGAGTTTACAGCTGTAAACTCATGTGGATATGGTCTTAGGGCCTAAAACTCCATAAAGAGTTTACTCTTGAAGAGTAAACTCCCTAACTAGGCCATACACCCCCCCTTACTTCAACCTATTAGCCTCCTAGCACTTTACCAAAGTGTTTTCCGCACGATAGGATGCTTATATGTGTTTAATTAGTAATATAATTACTAATTGTATGTAAACATATGCCTTCGTATATTACTAGGTCACTAAGTGTGTTCAAGTCTTTACTTGACACCGAGCACCCAATCGGCACCTCCATCCGATCCACTTACAGCAGGTGAGTTCATACCCCTGAATTGACCTTTTAAATGATTTTACTGCTTTTATAGGGGGAATACAAGTTGAACTGTACAGTTATTAGATATATCCTATGTGATTAATAACTGTATAGTAAAATAGATTTTGCATATTAAACTGTTTATCCAGCTTAAAGGTTTTCAAATTATGTTTTCAACTCTTGATAAAGTATGAAAGGTTTTTCAAAGGATTCCATAGATTTTCAAAACTTATTTTACAAACTGACATCAAGTCGTAATTTCTTATGTGTAAAGGTTTTTCCAAAGTTTTCATCAGAGTTTTCTTCTATGCTTTTATTTCATTAAATTGCATGCCTGCATTGGTATAGTTGTATAAATAATGTTTAAAAAACTTAGGAAGGCTAGTTCTCCCTACTTCCTTTTCCTCGTTGTGATGTGGTCTAGTGGGTATCGGTTATTCGTTCGAAGGGTGTTTAAACATTAGTTATATATTATGTATACACATATAAACATAAAGGTTTTCATCGACCAATTCACTTCCCTTGGATAGCAAGGGCATCCTTCCATTCATCATTCATAGACCTTTCGTTAAATGTATGCCTATATTTGTATAGTTATATAAATAATGTTTGAAAGACTTAGGAAGGCTAGTTCGCCCTATTTCCTTTTCCTCGTTAGGATGTGGTCTGGTAGGTATCGGTTATCCGTCCGAAGGTCGTTCAAACATTAGTTATATATTATGTATACATGTATAGATATAAAGGTTTCCATCGACCAGTTCATTTCCCTTGGGTAGCAAGGGCATTCTTCCAGTCACCGTTCATAAACCAGAGACACTAGTAACTATTATAGGAATAGTTAGGAGGTTCTATTTAATCTTTCTAGTATGAGATTTCCAAAGGAGTCAGTTCATTCGTGAGTCTCTATCATTAGTCCAGTACCTATATTAGAATTCAGAATACGAGATGTATCCTCTGGACACGGATTTCCCCGTTGTCAAGTTGGTAACCAAAGTCTCATGTAGGGAGAGCGGGCGTTGTGTGTATAGATCTATACAGGACTGACACTCCCACACCCTGACTGCTAGCTACAGTCCCCGACTGACCAAGCCAAGGGGTGACAAATGTCATATTCATTCTGACGCTTGCAGGGCGTCAAGTTCTCTACTGTCATTCAGTATGGTTACGAGTATCTCCATGCTTACCTTATAATTCATGGCCTTATGGTAACAAGATTTATCACTGTATTTTTCCTTTTTTAGACTTTGCTAGCTGTGTCGTTCATTCGATACTGTTTGGAGTCTATGCTTCCTTTTGTTAGACTGAGCCAGGTGTATCATTCGTTTGATACTCTCCTGGAGTCTATGATTTCTTTTGCCTTAGTTAGCAGCATTACTACTAAAGCATATGTTATTTTCCCTTGGTATTTTTACTTGTGACTTTCTCATTATTCCATTAAAGTAAATATTGTTTTCTGATAATGATAGTATTTTGGGGAAGATTACTCCTTATAACATAAGTCTGTCGGGTCTTGGTAGAAGACTGCTTTTATTTAGAAAATATAGGATTTTCTGGAAAGAACGCTAATACACCGTAGATTCTAAACTACTACCTTTCATAAAGTTATTTTGAATAAAAATGCATACTTACACAAATGACACTAAATACTTATGAACTCACCAGCATTTATAAAAATGCTGATACTCGCTTTCAAAATAACTTGTATTCTCAGGTCAACGATAGACAGGTACACCCGAGTGCTTTTGCGAAGTCAGCCTAGAACCGAGTTGCATCTATACTAGTTTATGTATTACTTTGATGTCTCTATGAAATGTAACGTATGTAAAACTATTACTATTAATGCATTGGTTTTTGTACTTTGATTACTATACTACATATGTTGTGATACTTGATACGACATCATCCACCCAGAACGTTTCCGCCGTTCCGGTTTTGGGGTGTGAAATTATTGATATAATTCATTGGGTAAGGAAATTGCAGATTACTGACTCTTTGAAGAAATCTTAAATTTAAAAAGCTCGTGTTTGAATCGTTTTATGGAGTTTGGGAAGTCATTCACCTTGTGCCAGCTGGAAGCTTGGTCAGTTGAGTATAAGGTTAGGAGAGGTGCCACGTGGACTCTTAAGGTGGAGGAAATTGATGAAAATGATGACAGTTGTGGGCTGTGTGGTGATGGTGGTGAGTTGATTTGCTATGATAAATGCCCCACAATTTTTCATCTAACATGATTATGTGTACAGGTGTGTGTATGTGTCTTTCTTTCCCTTTATTTATATTTTTACTTTCATAATCCTTTTATCTTTATTTCTTAATTTATGTGGCTATTTGTATCCCATTTTATGTGTCTTGTTTTTTCCAGGAGCTACTTGAAGGCAATTGGTATTGTTCAAAGTGCTCTTGTTGGATTTGTGGGAATGTGGTCAATGATAACGCGCCTTCAAGTTTGGATGGCCTGAAATGTTTGCAATGCGAACATAAATGTAAACATTTATTCTTTATTGTCAATATCTAAAATTAAAACAAATTGGTTAGAAACATCAACATTTTATTTACAGACCATGAGGAATGTCGTGGAGAAACCGGATTAGAAAGAGACTTAACGTGGTTCTGTGGGGAAAGTTGCAAGGAGGTAAGAATCAAAATCGAATTGGAATTGGAATTTGTGAATTTATTTGACATTATTAATAAATTTTGATGTTGGTCTTTTATAGGTTTATTTCGAGCTTCATTCACGGATTGGAATTATGAATTCCATTTTTGATGGTTTCTCGTGGACCCTTCTGAAATGCATACATGGCGACCAAAAGATTCATTCCGGATTGGTTGCTTTGAAAGTTGAATGCAAGTTGAAACTCGCAATTGCACTTACAATTATGTAGGAGTGTTTTCTTTAGATCCAAGAATAGGTATTGATATGATCCCACATTTTTTATACAATTTGGGGGTGAACACTATTACCATTTCATGATTTTTTTTCACTAATTAACACAACCTTTTGGAGATAATTATTTCATATGATTTTTTTTTTTCAGATCAGAATTTGCACGTCTGAACTATGAGGGGTTCTATACAGTGATTTTGGAGAAAAATGACGTAATACTTTGTGAAGCATCATTAAGGTATACAAATTGGTGATATTTTCTAGCATTGAATAGTAAATGGCCATTTTGCCATTTGACCTTTTTAACCCTATGTTTGAAATTTGTGTTCAGGATTTATGGGGTAAATGTTGCGGAGACGCCTTAAATTGCAATATGCAGCAAATGTCGGTGTTAGGGAATGTGTAGGCTTCTCATGAATGTTATTGAAGAGGTAATCTTTTCATATTAATTTATTCGACATAAAAGTTTTTATATTACATCTTGCTAAATTCTAGAGTTAATTACAAATTTCTCTTTTGTTTTGGTCCATGAGTTGTAAAATCTAACTACTCAAAAATGTTGGTCTTATTAACATGACTATTTTACTCTTGGACCAAACCCCCAAAAAAACATATACAACATGGGTCAAATTCATTATTTACTCATAATGTCACTATTAAATTATTTTCTAAATTATAACTTATTTTATTTTATAATATAATTTTTTTTAGTCAAAAGAAAATAAAATATGAGATTCACTATTAGTGTTGTTTATTTATTTTTACCAAATAAAGTATTTGTATGTTAGAACAAGATACTTTATAATTTAGAAAATAAAATACGTGATAATTTATGATTGGCTGATAAAAACATTTTTTTAATTTCTTTTAAACATATATACTTTAGAATAAAATAATACAGTACGTTATAATTTAGAAAATAACACATGTTTTATTTTCTATTAACTTAATAAATATTTACACATTAGCATAAAACACATTATAATTTAGGAAAAGAGATACGTGATAATTTTGAAAATAATTTAATCATAAAATTACAATTGGATTACAAATCTGGTCTACTGCAAAATAGTCATTTTAATAAAACTGAAGGCCAAATAGTTCGATTTAGCAATCAACCTAGGGACCAAAACAGCAACAAAACGAAACCACGGGGAGAAAATTAGTAGCTTGGACTAACCACACTCACAAGGACCAAATTTGTAATTCGTTTTACATAAACTCTTGTAAAATGAAAATTATGATTTTCAGATGCTCAAGTCATTCAAGGTTGAGAAGCTGGTGCTATCTGCGATCCCCAGTTTGGTTGACACGTGGAGGGATGAATTTGGATTCACAACCTTGGAATCCCATGAAAAAAGAGCCTAAAAAAATAGTTCTTCTTCTACAGGTTGGTTTTTTGTTAAATAAAGATGTTCAAGTATTATGGAGGGTGTTATGCCTGAGTTTCATAGAGGGGTTAAAAGTTTTCAAATTGATGTTGACCAAAATGCTAGTGATGAAGGAGAAAAGATTTCACTGCTACTAGAAAAAGCTGCATAACCACTATTTCATGTGCAAAAGATAAGAATGCTATTCTCATTAAAAAGAAAACCTAAATGATATCATTTTGTAGGCAAGTAGGCAGTTAGAGATGCAAAAGTCAATTAAAATAGCCTTAGAGGAAGCTAGTCACAAGGCCTCCTCACAATCTATATCACATTCTTTTGTAACTATTGCGTATAGTTTATAAAATGAGTAAGCCAGTTAGAATTTGAATATTTACTGTTTTTGGAAATTTGTTTTGGTGGTTGCTGTTTTTAACTATGTTCTATGATTCATATGATGTTCTAGCCATTTCAGTATTGTATATCGTAGGTTCGCTTAAAGTTACTTAAACTGGTTAAATAAAAGAATTGCAACAAAAATCAATGTTTTTTTTACTGAATTGGATAAATTAGTGACGACTTTTTATGGTCACTACCTGGATAAACTAGTGACGACTATCTATGGTCACAAATCGGATGGGAGTGACAACTTGTTATGGTCACTAATTAGATAAACCAGTGACGACTTTCTATGGTCACTAATCGCATAAGAGAGTGGCGACTTTTATGGTCACAAATTAAATAAAACAGTGACCACTTTCATTTATTAGTGACAACATTTAATGACGAAACCCCTCGTCACAGATTCAGTGACCATTATATTTTGGTCACTATTTATGACCGCTTTAATATTTTGGTCACTAATCGGTTTTTGTGAAAGACCTATAGTGACCACAAGTGATGACCAAAAGTTTGGTCACTAAATGATGTAGTGACGACACTTTCAATTGTTAGTGACCATTTCCTTTTCGTCACTAATTGACATTTTTTTGTAGTGAAATAATACATTAAGAATAAATACATAATAAGTTGTTATTCGGTTTTTTTTGGATTATTTAGTTTTTATTTTATAAACCAAAACCAATCCGAAATCCAAAATGATAATTCGATTTTGTTGAAAATCAATCCAAAAATCCGAATATCTGAACCAAATACTCCAATCCAAATTGTCAAATTAGACAATTCGGTTTTATCCAAATAGTGAACAACTTTATTTCCTACTTCTAGCTCCGCATTTGTTTCCTTTTCTCGAGCATTTCTTTGCTACTACAAAACATAATTCAAACATAATAAATACCTTATGTTTCAAAATAGGCATAATTATAACTAAAAGTATTAAAAATATGCACAAAATATATGATTAAATATGTACGTACCATATTTTAATTGTTGCGATATTGGAGATAAATTTGAATCTAGATCGATTTTTGAAAATAGCGATTGAGATTTCAATAGCGGTAGAAGATAAGGAAGAAACATGATTGACATAAATACAATTGGAATTGGAAAGAAAAATGAAATTGTTATTTTTAAATGTCACACCAAAAGCCATATGTCACACCATGTTCGAAAAAACATATCATGCCATCTTGCAAAGGCTAATACGCGTAAAAATAACTGAGTTAACACAAAAAAATATCATTTATGAACCGTCTATAAACAAACAAAATATAATAAAAAAGATACGAAATAATAGTTTGCTCGATTATTTTAATTTTTACCTTTTATAAAGGGTTTTACAGTATTATACAAAATAAAATGTAGTATAATTGGTGTGGAAATTTAAATAATTTTAGAAAATTTTAATTGATTTTTGAAACTATCGACTGATTTTTAAATAATGGTAGATGATAGTGCAGAAACATGATTGACCTAAACAAGATAGAGAAGAAAAATAAAAGTGTTTTATTAAAAAAAAAACCATAAAAGGTCATCAAATGTCACAAATTCAGTTTCTACTAATTTTTTTTACAAATATGATCTATGCAATTTCCAAAACTTGCAAAAATGATTCTTTTTAGTGATGCTTCATGCAAGTTTTAAAAACCATAAAAACCATGTTCATAAAAAAAAAAAATTAAAAGATACTTAGTTTGTAAACTTTGATAAATTACAAAGACATTTTTATAGTGTTGTCGAAAGAAATGAATAACCATGTGACACACCATTTTGAATAAAGAAAAATATTAAGGATATTAGCCCATAAAAAAGACTAAATTAAGACCAAAAAAACTATTCTTTATGAATGGTTTATGAATAAACAAAATCAAACTAAAACAGGAAAGTGGAAGTGGCAATCAACTGCACGGCAAGAAAAAAATATACAACAAAAACAAAATGGGGATGATACGATAAACATGCAAGATAATAAATGAAATTGGAATGGAATTAAATTTTAAATTTGTGTTCGTGTCAAGTGTAAAAATATGATTTTAATCTTGTCATTTTCAAAATTCGACATGAAATTGATATGGTATTAATATGTATTTCTCGTGTTTTCCGTAATTGTAGTGTTTTGTAAGATCAATCTTAAATTAAATAATACAAATTTTTATTCTATTTTATATTTTTTGTGTTTGTTGGATTGATCGTTTTTATTATGTTTTAAATTAAATCATTTTCCTATTAATAACAAACCATAAATTCATATGTATCATATTGTTTTATATTGGGAAAATGACTTACAATGTAATCATATTTGTCGTTTTGTTTACATTTAGACATTTTTTTTATATATAATTAACCATTTAACTTATTAAATATGTTCGCATATTACTATTGACATCTGATATCGCTGATGACAATAGTAATATATGAACACATTTAACAAGTTAAAATGTCAAATGTGTACAAAAAAAATGTATAATCGTGAACAAAACGAAAAATTAATTTATCTGATAAAATAACGATTTTATTTTTCATATTTGTTTGTATTATTTTTTTCAAACATTATTTTTAAAGTATCCATAATATCCTAGATATTAATTATATATTGATCAATTCTAAACTTTATTTTTTAAATAATAAATATGTTTTTGTTTTGCGAAATACTTTATATAGCATCTTTTATATATATATATATATATATATATATATATATATATATATATATATATATATATATATATATATATTCTTTTGTTTTTAAGTATATAAAATATTTTTAAAGTAAATAATATTTAACAATAAAGTTAAATAAATTAAATATGTAAATATTACATTGCAAACAAAAAACAAAAAATATTTATATAATGTAAATGTTTTAAATAATTTTTTAATTAGAAGTTTATAAACTATTAATTTTTTTAGAACAACATTTTAAACTAGTATTTAATGAAAATATTTTAAAATGTTATAAAAAATATTAAATTATCATACAAAAACGTATGAAACACTTTAAAACTATTGTAAAAGAAAAGTTTAGAAATAATTATATGACATTTATAAAAAAAAAAAATGTATGAAAATGTTAATAAAACAAAACTTAAAACGTTTGTAAAATATTTGGTTTAATAGCATTTTTATTAAAATTATATGAAAGTATAAAATAAGTTTAAAAAAAATTATAAGCAAAATTTATAATATTGTATTAGAAAAACTTACAAAAAAAAAATCATAAAAGTATTATAAAAAGTTTTAAAAATTCTTAAGAAGTTTATAAAAAGATATTATAAGAACCACGATACTACTAAATATAAACAACCTAAAAAATAATTATCCTAACAAATCATTTTCTTTTTTATATATTACATAAACCATTTTTCTTAACGTGACAACTTAAAAACCACGATACTACTGGATTACCATCACCTCTAAGGTTGATTTTTTTCAAAACTCCAAAACATATCCAAAAATTGGGCTAAATAGGCCCATGATAAGTGTTTTCTATATAATCGATATTGTAGATAAGGAAAAGGTCGAAAGAATCCTAACGAACGAAGTATTCAATCTTTCAACAAAAGGCGATAAAATAAAATAAAAATAAATTTAGATTCTAG